GACAGCCCAGACGCGTCTGGGCTGGCAGCTGCCCTCATGTTCTGCCGCTTTGCTTCCTCTCCCTTGTCTACTGGAGACCAGGGAGAGGACCCCGTTCGTAACTGCGGATCCGACATAAGTCGGATCCGCGTAACTCGGGGACTGCCTGTATTGATCAATGCCTCTTGCTTCATTAATATCACGTCACTTCCACATTTAGTTTGCTCTATGAAAATCTCTTCTAATAGTTTTTTCTTGACTTTTGTAAGCAAGAATATAATTAGTAGTGGATGAAAGCTTATTTTACTGATGGGGAGGCCAAACTCAAAATAGGAGTAGTATTTCTCTCTTAATTACCCATTAGTTCCCCAAAGATCTCAGTTACACTTTGTTACACCTAAAATGTTGCAAAAGAATTAAAATGTTTGCCCTTCACTGAAAATATTTCTTTTCAGCTGACATGTGGCAGACAGATTTCCAGCCTGGGTCTGAATTGCTCCAGTCTACTCAGTTCTTTTATTTTGAAGAGAGCAAATTAAAGCAAATTGTTTTCACTTTATTGTTTTAAAGAACAGTTAAAAGCACCTCACTTTACATGCTAGACTCTGAGCTTATTAGGTGTGTCTGAGTTTTGTGTTCCTGTGGGCCAATTTCTCCGGTGAGGGCTCTGAGGCATGCTGGATCTGCTTTGAATGGGGCCAGTTTGTATCTCATGCCCCCAAAAGCAATTCTACCTAGGACAGATTTCTTCCTGTGAACTCCTAGGATGAATATCCCAGAGTAATGCACTGTGACCTTTTGAGGTGATGGAAAGTGCTATGCCTGGTTTGCTCTGTTGGCTGATGCATGAGTGACATAGTGAACCATTTCCCTGCATTTACCTGACCCTTTTTTGCCTCCTTTCTGACATTAAGTTCCACAGGGAAGCTATGTGGCAGCAGGGACTACAGTCCCCAGTGAAATTCTGTCGAGTATCTGCTCAAGGGCGAGACAGATTTCATTCCCCCACCCCAGAATGCTCACCCTCCCAAGTGCTATCCTGATTTGTATCCTTTGAGACAGGGTTGGAAATAACTCTACAATGCGCATGATCTGCCAGGTGGCAAAGCACACACTCATAGTGCTATGGGCTTAGGGTTTGTTAACTGAATATATGATCCCATTTAATTTTGCTATAATTTTGTCAACTTTCCTATAATGCTATGCCATGTTATGTGTCTATTCTAGGTGGAGAAGAAGCGGTTTAATCTGCCCAAGACTCTTTCTGCTCCTCCAATTGTAGGAACCATTTGCCATTCTTATGACAGAGAAGTACATGTGCGCTGTGACCTTGCCCCTGGTTATTACCTTATTGTCCCTAGCACCTTTCTGAAGGATGCAGAGAGAGACTTTCTGCTTCGTGTATTCTCAACAGGGCGAATCTGCCTCAGGTATGTTAAAAAAGGGAGACCTAGCAAACCCCCTGAAAACATTGCAAACAGTTTATGTAAAGAGTATGCCCTTGATGAGGGCTTGATGTGACCTGAACTACAGTTAAGGGAAGCCCATGTAAAAAGGGTGTTAATTCTTTTGAGAACAGGTAATTAGTGTGGCTGCTTAATGTGCACCTTTCCTAGCTTTATGAATGGGGGTCTCAAGCTGCTGAAATCCTTCCCTTAAAGTATCTGGGGGTGACGATCTAAATCTCTTTTTGACCCGAGAGAGAGAGAGAGTCTGGAAAAAGAGTACCCTTTTCAGAGGTGAACCGGTGTAGTTCTCTGTAGTGTGTAGTTTGTGGAGAACATACTTCATCCAGAGTCTGGTGTGTCTTATACAAGAATCACATTGCTGCACAATTACTTCAAGCATCAGTACATTTTGAATGTTACACAGTTCTGTGGAGTTCTCGCTTCATCCAGGGTAGATGTCTTTTGGAGCTCTGTGGGCAGTGGGGAAGGACTCTGGGAGCTACATTGTTTTTGTATTTTCCTCTTTTCTTTCTCCCCCTGATCTGTTGGGGGGGGAGGGGAGGAGAGGAGAATTAGGGAAATTTAAATGCAAAAATATAAATTCATGGAAAATTAAGAAACTAAATGCATCATTGATAGGGAATTGAAAAGATAAATTTAATCAATTAGCGAATATAACCCGCGTCCATGTATTACCCGCAGTTTTTCTATTATATTCCCCAAAGATCTCAGATACACTTTGTTACACCTAAAATGTAAAATACATAAATAAATTAAATAAAATTTTTAAAAAATTAGATTACCCACGGATGTAAATAACCCGCAGAGACTTCTGCTGCCTTCATAAAAGGTGATCTTTGATGCCGCGGTGGGAGATGTGGCCGGTGCAGCAGCTCTGGGCACTTAAGCAGCAGCACCGAGGTGAGGAGGTAGAGAGCAGACACAAGGTGACGGCCATCCTGCTGCCAGAGAGCTGGCTGGCCTGCGGGAGGGGAGCCGTTCTCACACCCAGGCCCACCCCGCGCAGCTGCAGCCAGGCGCCACCCACCCTCTTCCAGGCGGGGGGAATGGAGAGTGCAGTGCAGGCATGCTGGAAGCTCGTCAGACCCGCCCTGTCCCCCTGCAGCGGAGCTGACCCAGTTCTAATGGGGGGCTGGGAAGAGCCGCTTAGGGGAACTGATGTTCCCACAGGGACTCCAAGGAGTAAAAATCAACATGTAAAGATGCAGGCATGTATACCCCGCGGGGGCGGGGGGGGTGGGGTTGTAAAAATGTGTATAACCCGTGGGTTATATTAGCTAATTTACAGTAACTAGTTCAGCGTGTTGTATTTTCTATTGCTATTGTTGAAATACATATTAATGTGTGTATGCTTTAAATTGACATTGTGCAATTTGGCCAGATTAAAGGTGCTGTCAGGATCTTAAGTTTTACTTTATTTTCTCTGTTCTGCAAATGTTCAGATTTTGCATTTAATGATATGTGATGATTAGATTGACTGTTACTGGGAATGCTTGACTGGCAAGCGTTTGCATTTTTTTGACATGTATTTTTCATTAATAGTATTTCCATGATTGCTCAGCTAGGATAGTGAATTGCATGGAGGGATGATGAATTGCAGTCATGGAAACCTTTCGCATTTCGTGCACTAGTTTTCCTTTCTGTCTTACATTTGACAGTGAGATAAAACCACCACCTGCTGATGCTGCCCTCTGTGAAGAGCTCTCACCAGGTGAATGGGAGACTGTGCAGCTACAAGGATGCTGGAAAAATGGCCAAAGTGCTGGAGGTAGCAGGAACTTCCACTCCTTCCATACCAATCCCCGCTTTCCCCTCTCCATCCCTTTAGAAACAGGAGAGCGCAACGTGAAAGTCACCCTCCGCCAGCACTGTCAAGATAGCAAGTTTCGTCCAATAGGGTTTCATATCTTCCAGGTATAATTTACCCCAGTCAATGTGATTGTTTCATTTACACGAATAAACGAAATTCATAATTTATTTAGGTGCCTTTTACCTTGGAGAATGGGAATGCAGCCTATAAATGATCCCTTTTGGGCCCACACAATTAGACATTTGAGCTAGATTATTTCACAGGTATAGTAGAGCTTAAGGTATAACAATGAATGATTTGATAGCATAGCAACCACATTTCTGATTCCACTGAACCAGGATATGACAAGGGTTCAGAAGTCATGCAGCCGTCAGTACTTTTAGATTTTCTGTTCATTTGAAGGGTTTTATTTAACACTAAGACTGTTGCTAGTTAACAATTAATGGTTCACAATCATGCTGGAAAGGCATAACAAGTGGGATACCGCAGGCATCTGTTTTGGGACTGGTTCTGTTCAATATCTTCATCAGTGATTTAGATGATGGCAAAGAGAGTACGCTTATTAAGTTTGCAGATGATACCAAGCTGGGAGGGGATGCAACTACTTTGGAGGATAGCGTCATAATTCAAAATGATCTGGAGAAATGGTCTGAGGTAAATAGGATGACGTTTAATAAGGACAAATGCAAAATACTCCACTTAGGAAGGAACAATCTGTTTCACATAGACAGAAAGGGAAGTGACTGTCTAGGAAGGAGTACTGCAGAAAGGGATCTAGAGGTCATAGTGGCCCACAAGCTAAATATGAGTCAACAGTGTGACGCTCTTGTAAAAAAAGCAAACATGATGCATTAACAGATGTGTTGTGAGCAAGACACGAGAAGTCATTCTTCCTCTCTACTCTGCGCTGATTAGCCCTCAGTTGGAGTATTGTGTTCAGTTCTGGGCACCACATATAAAGTAAGATGTGGAAAAATTGGAGAAGGTCCAGAGAAGAGCAACAAAAATGATTAAAGGTCTAGAAAACATGAGCTATGAGGGAAGAGTGTGAAAGAATTGGGCTTGTTTAGTTTGGAAAAGAGAAGACTGAGGGGACATGATAGCAGTTTTCAAGTATCTAAAAGGGTGTCACAAAGAGGAGGGGGAAAAATTGTTCTCTTTGGCCTCTGGTGATAGGACAAGAAGCAATGGGCTTAAACTGCAGCAAGGGAGGTTTAGGTTGGACGTTAGGAAAAACTTCCTAACTGTCAGGGTGGTTAAACACTGGAATAAGTTGCCTCGGGAGGTTGTGGAATCTATATCTCTGGAGATATTTAAGAAGACACCTGTCAGGGATAGTCTAGACGGTGCTTGGTCTTGCCATGAGGGCAGGGGACTGACTTGATGATATCTCAAGGTCCCTTCCAGTTCTAGTGTTCTATGATTCTATGTATGAAATTGCTCACTTTTTTTAAAGTGAGCGGGTTTTTTTCATTTGTGCACAGGTGCAAATAGTTCGAATATTTGGTGTCTGAAATTCAATCTTGGTGAATAGGTGTGAAACCCACCTTCTAAAATATTTTTTTCTTGTCAGTTAAGTGATCTTGAGCAAACAGGGTCATTATATGGAATAAGGTGTGTATTTGACTGGGTGGATTTTTTAATGGATCATACTGGTTTGTTTTAAAGGTGTGAGATCTGAAATTATTTTAATTTCTTCAGGTGCCTAATAGCAGTTGGAAATCACACACTTCTTCTTTTCTGCACTTGGAGCCACTTGTTAGCTGTGTTCCTCATTGCTACTCACAGGAAGTGAGCCAGCTCTGTAAACTCTCTGCAGGGAATTATGTAATTGTACCATCAACCTACTTGCCTAATACTGAAGGCAAATTTACAGTGATCATAACAACCAAAATAGACAGGTAAAAATATATAGCTATGTGTTTTTAGGTTTCTAAATTCATATGTAGAAAGCCATAGGACAACACTACATGATAATTCATAATAGTAATGTTTCCATTTTGATTATAACATCTTTATACCACTATCACAGATTGTCTGTCTCAAGGGATCTCTTCAGCCACATTTTGTGATTGCCATAAAGCCAGCTGAGTACGTTCTTTACCTCTCAGGGGTACATGCCCGTTCTCTCTTGGGACTATGGGTTGCCTACAACTACTTGTGACCGGGCCCTTTAAGGGAAATAGGGCTAACTTCATCTATGCCATAATTATCAGCCCCTCTTGTGAGGTATTAGCCTCATGAACACTTGGCCACAAAAAGTCTGAGGGTATGTCTAGACTACATGGCTCTGTCGCTAGAGCCATGTAGATTAGTTTACAGTATCTAGCTTCTCTTTAAATTCACTAGCTTATCTCCTAGGGTGTGTCTAAACTACATGGCTCCATTGATGGAGCCATGTAGATTAGGCTGATCAGCAAAGGGAAATGAAGCTGCGATTTAAATGTGGCTTCATTTAACTTTAAATGGCTGCTGAGCTGAGCTGACAAACATCTGATCAGCTGTTTGTCGGCTCAGTGTGCTAGTCTGGACGCTCCCGTGCCGACCTGAAAGCCCTTTATCGACCTCCCCGTTATGCCTCGTAGGATGAGGTATACCGGAGAGGTCGATAAAGAGCTTTCATGTTGGCAGAGGAGTGTCCAGATTAGCGCGCTGAGCCGACAAACAGCTGATCGGCACAGCGCAGCAGCCATTTAAATTTAAATGAAGCGGCTATTATTTAAATCGCCCCTTCATTTGGGTATGTCTAGTAAACTAATCTACATGGCTCTGGCAACAGAGCCATGTAGTCTATACATACCCTGAGAGAACTGAGAGAGAAAATCTGCAGGAAGTAGCAGGGGTGATTGGTGTGGGGGCAACTGTCACATACCTCCTTCCCACGATACCCAGGGAGAACTGGGACAGTGTCCCTTTTTCCCCAGGCCCCACCCCACCCCTTTCCCTTCCCCCAAGCTTTCTCCTCTGAATGACAGCTTGGAGGAGTAGAAGGGTGGGGGCTGGCACTGGCAGCAGGGGTCAGGCCCCCTCACACTCACTGGCAGTGGCAGGGGAAGAAAAGCTGCATGACTTCAGTCCCCGGGCTCCTTCCTGTGTTGCAGTGCTTCCCATTGGTGAGTGCAAGGGGCAGTTCCTGTCCTCCCCCGAGTCACATGTCTGGGAGCTGGGGGGAGGAAGGGGGAAGTGGAGATGCATTGCTCCATTTCCATCCCTCACTGCCAGTGAGTATGAGGGAATCTGACCCCTGCTGCCAGCGCCAGGCTCCCCCGTTAGTCCTCGGGCCACCCAGAGACTCTGGTCCCTTGCCCCTCCTGCCCACAGTGTTTTGGGGGAGCACATATCCCCTTTGCCCCCACCTCGTGCATCACCAGTGGGAAGTAGGTTAGGACTGTGAGGGGCTCTGATATAAGGTCTGTAGAAAGTAGGGAGGTTGGGTCTCGAAAACACAGGTAGAGTTTCCTGGGAGATGAGACAGTAGGAAATGAATAATGGTTTGCACTAAAGTAATTGTTTTCTTCTTTTTCTTTTCAAATAGGAAATGCATTCAGAGCCAGGAGACCCTTGGACAAGTATTGCAAGAAGTAGGTGGCATTGAATTTATCAGTGGCAGTCAGATTGAGGTACTTTGGAAGACAGAGAGGCAAACACACAAACTAGCTAATTTTTTTGTGCCAGAGACTGTGCAAGACAGGAATTTGAAAGTTCTGATTCCACTCTGAAGCTGACTGTTCGATCTTGGGCACATCAGTAAACTTGTCTGCATTTTTCTATCTGCAAAGAAACAAACAAACATAATTAGGGCTGTAAGTGACTAGTTGACTATCCAATAAGCATAAGCTTATCAGATAGTTGACTAGTGATGCAACTAGTCACTCCGCCCCCCCCTCCCTTCCTGCCTCTATTAGAGGCAGCAGGGGGGGCACAGGAGCCAGTGCTGGGGGGAGCCGTCTTAAAAATCAGTTCCCCCTGACACCATCTCTGTGGGGGGCAGGGGAGGTAGAGACATTGCAGGAAACAGCGTGAGTGGTGACCAAAATAGTCTTCTCCCTTCATATGATCATCATCATTCTTACCTTTTTACTGCTATATGAAATACCTTTCCCCACCCTATTGGATGTTTAGGCATTACTGCAGTGTTTAGAAACTACTACTACTAGAAGTACTAGTACTATTAACAATACAAGAATAAATGGGGAAAAGAGAGGAGAAGACCTGGAGGTGATTGCCCTACACACCTTAAAAGGTCTACATTTGTGTTTGCTTTTACACACTATGGTATAATGATAATTCACCCTGGGCTATGAGCTGTTCTGGCCAAGTTAATGCAACATATTCAACATTTCACTTTTTTTTCTGCACATACTGTTGTTTCAGACTTTGGAATGAGTTCTCCGTTCCTGGCATTTATGATATTTTTATTTGAGGGTGAGAGAGCTCCAAAAATATTAATTTTTTGCAACCATTTAAAATAAAATCTTGTATTTTAGATCAGTGTGTGTTCTTGATAACAGTATTTACTTATTAGGCAAGACAGATACCAACCAGATACAATCTTGAAGATGGAAAGGGGCACACACTAAAAACAGGCAAACAAAAAACACCCACATATCACACCAGATATTAGTTGGCTCACTAATTTTCCTGCTCTAGGTTTTGTTGACCCATGACTATACTTTATCAGCAAAACCACACAAAAACCCAAATCAGGACTTTCTGTATTTCACAGAAATTGGAGCTGGAAAAGACATATATGTACGTTTATAATGGTAGTTATTACTTTAGAATCTAGGAACTATAAACTAATTAATATTAGCACTTCCATTCCTTGTTCATTATTCATTTCATTCTTGGGTAAGATTCTTGCCTGTCTCTGGCAAATGTTGTTACTGAGAGATGGGCCTATCTAGAGAGACAATTCTTACATTGCTTCCTAAGGGTAATAAGACTTGGGCCTACCCTACTGCCCAGTGGCAGAGTACACAGCCAGTGGCCATCCCCAGAGAATACCCTACTTCAAACCTCGGACAATTTCAGTTTGGAGGTGACAGCCCCAGTCACCTCATTGAGTGCAGCTATCAGGGTAAGATACTGGAAGAGATGATCTCTGAGGAGTTTAACAAGTCCTACCTGGGTGAAGATTACAAAGACTAGGACCTAGAAGCAGTTCAGGTATTTGAAGGACATCCAGTGGAGAGCATAGACCATTTTTGTGATGTGGTTTTGTTAGCCTGCCTCACCTAGAATATCAGCCGCTGTGTGTTAACTAAAGCTTTTGTGTGTCCTTCCTGCTCTGTGCCAGGTGGAGTGCACTGCTGTAGTTCAGCCTGACGGAGATGGAAACATGGCTTACTGTGCTGGCTCTCCATCCAAAAGAAAAGTTGTAGACTCCTTGTTAGTCGAATATTAAAGCATTTTTGGTTACAGCTGCTGTTTGGTTGAGTAGGAGCGGTGACAAGGCCACTAGCATCATGAGACCGTCCCCTTTCCTCTGAGCTCCACTGCTTTTCATTCAAGTAGTTGTGTGTCTCAGGCACTGGGACAAGTGGAAAATAGAACAAAGAGATCTGTAGAGCTGATGCCACTGGTGTACTGCATTGTGTATATTTATGGTTTCTATATAGTCTGGTTCCAGATTACACTGAAGTTACAGGGTTTGCATTACTGTCTTGAGGCCATGTAAATGTATCAATTTAACAAAAAGAGAATGTGTAATGATATTTGGCCTTAATTCCTGAAACTTTCTTTTCTCTGTCTAGCTAAGGCCAACCTTTTCCCCCCTGAGACTGTTAACACATTACAAAGCTACAGATTGTAACCTATGAAATAGCTTCAACTCAGCCTCTTCTTGTAGGTCTCCTTTACAGCTGTGATGAGAAGGTAATGTGGAATTCTTGCATCAACATCATAACAAACAGTGGAGAGACAAAAGTCTGATGTCTGGATAGTTTCAGTTTGAAATGAAGTAACCAGAAAGTATGCTGAGCCCAGTGGTTTTCCATTCCTCCTGACTGCCAGCCAGGTGATGTCTGCTCTGTAAAAATACCTCCTTAATAATGTTCTTCCTGATGAGCACTTGTCTTCCCTGTGTGTTTTACAACCAGCAACATACAACTGGACTTCTTGTTATACCTCAGTTCTCCAGAAATATGGACAAAGGATATGTGAGCATATAATTCAAGCTGCAGTTTTAAAATTAAAACAGTAAAAAATATGATCTGCATATACATAATGAAAGACTATTTGGTGAAAAATATCAAGTTTACAGATCAACCTCAGGAGACTAGAGGAGAAGAGGAGGAGTAAATGGAAAAGAAACGTTGAAGTCCCCTTTTCAGGAAAGGAAGACCATAAGAGCCAACAAAGTACACTGGAATAGGGATAGACAAGGTCTGTAATCACTGCCAATCTTATTACTGAGCACTTTATCATGGGCCCTGCTACTATTTGTCATGAAACTGTAAGTTGGAAAAGAGGAATTTAGGTGAGTTTGTCTTGCACCATTTGAACATCTGGGTGGAAAGAGAACAATGACTTTTGCAAAGCTGCTAGTTTGATAATTCATACAAGACAGTATTTTTGTTACTGATACCCAGAATGTTTTCTGAGAGAGCTCCTCTTACTGTAGCATACCATGAGGTTAACAAACTCTTCTTAATTGCTGTTAAAACATTGGTTACTTAAGTGTGGGTTTTTTAGATATTGTATTTTCTGTAATAAAAGAAAGGTGATATTAATGAGTTTACAGTGTTTTCTGTTAATGTAATTGATCATTTCAATCTCTTTAGGTTTCTTTAACCTTTATGGTGCAGCAAGCATTGCAATCTTATAGAGTCACCTGATTTCCATTAAGTGGGTGTTGAAAAGCAGATCTTGAGAATTTGATTCCCTTCTTACCTGATTTTACAGCAGATTCACATGCAGAATAATACTTTCAGTTTCAGTTTGCACTCCAGAATCTTACACTTTTTCCTATTGAACTTCAGAAACTGAAAAAACTAGGTTCCATGTACTGGAGCTGAAAACAACAAAACCTTTTCGGAAGTGGAATCGGTCGGGGGCTATGCATTTTGTTGAGCTCAATGGATTGGATACCGAACAAAATATAGTATCAAATGCACCAAACTCATAATTTGCATAGAATGATGCCATATTTTTGAGTGTCCCCTCCCCCCAAAATAGAGGTAATTTTATCTAATTTCTCAAGTTCTCAACAGTTCAGTGACCTCCTTTGAAGTAACCAATAGAAGAATGATGTTCCACTCAAAAGAAAATGGAGTTGTAAGAGGAAATGAGGGATTTACAAAAACAAAAGCTAGTTCAAGATGCTATGATTGATATAATAAAACAGATGAATAAGCAATTTTGAAGAGACAGTACACATCTCACAAGGAAAGAAGCATACGAAAAGAATCTGACACTAAAGTTACATGTCACATTACCAAAACTAAAGGGATTTTCAAAAGAACAGTGATTTTGAGAGGAAATGAGAGGACCTAATATTTCAGGTGTACACATGCTTAACTTTATTACTGTGACTAGTTCCCCAAGAGAGAGTAAAAGGAAAGGTGCCAAAAGTGCATTGATAGTCCTTAGATTAAAAACATGTGCAATTAACTTTGAAAGAAAGAAGTACATGGAAGTTCAGTTAAAATTAAGCATTTTTATTGCATCTAGACAATTGTGCAGCAAAGGTGGGACTGAATCATCAGTTCATATAATGCCATTTCATGTTCTGCTGTTTTTGACTCATTTAAAATACAGTTCAACACCTTACTAGTACATTGAGCCGGCATCTCTAGTAAGCTTTGCATGGTAATGCGGACTTTCTAAAATACCTTAGCTAATTCACCCATATCTTTACCATTTAGAAATAGTGTAGATAAATATTTTCAATAGATGTTACTTTCCACTTGTGTACAGTGAAGAGCTCTTGATTTTTGGCAAATGCATTTATTTTTTAAAAGTTAAAATTTTGCAGGTCTGTGTTCCTAAATAAAAACATCTCCGGCCATTGTCACAATATTGAATGATCAAATTCGTTTAATAAGATAAAGTATAGGATGGCTATTTTAAAAAGGAAGAATCACCTCCGCTTTATGGTTCATTTCAGACTAGCGTGGAATAGCATGGAGCTTATATGGATGTGGTTGTAATATAACCCCTAAAATATAGTCCATATTGGCTTCCTTCACTCCTTCTGGAAGCTGGAATGTAAATGCCCGCAGCAGGGTGACAAAGAAGATGAAGAGCTCAGTTTTTGCCATCTGTTCCCCCAGACATACTCGGTGCCCTACAGAAGAAACAAGAGCAAGGAATTACTTGTACAAATGATTGCACAGAATGAGTCAAAATGAATTTCCAAACAAAATTCTGTTGAGTCTCATGAACTCTCTAAGGTGAGAAGCTGCCTCTGAGGGAAATAATTTGTATATAGGTTGCACCTCCTTAAACCAGACTCGGGTCAAGCAACATCTGTGATGCTAACTGTATATCTATGCTTCAAGCTCGGGATGTAACTCTCAGGCAGGTTTTGAAGATGTGACTTAGCAGAGGCACTAAACTAAAATGTGGCTGGGCAGTG